CCCCAAAACCCCAAAACCCCAAAACCCCAAAACCCCAAAACCCCTCAGGAACTGGAGAAGTTGGAATACTAATCAGGTATAATCTTTCCTTAACGTAGGTATAATCTAAGAAAGAGATTATCTGAGGTTTATGAAATATCAGAATTTGCTCCAAAAATGTACTTTCCTTTATTAGGACTGGAGATAAGCACTAAAAAGCTTAAAAACAAATGCGAAAATAACCTTATTATGAAGTAACGGCAGATTTAGTTAAGTATTTCATTGGATATCCTTCAACCTATACCTATTATCCTTGAACAAGGTCTTGACTTCGCTGATGTTAAGGAATTTAGGAATATACAGTACATTAAGGCTAGCTCGCACTGGAGTTTTCTTCAAGCTTAAGCACAGAATCCTCAGGAACTGCATTACTTTTTCTTCTGTTCCTTTCTTGTTAGTGATACGGATAGTTATACTCTCGAGACGGGAATCTCACACTTGAGTTAAATTCAAATCCTCGGTTACCATTTCAAAATTTCAGCCATCAAATTCCAAGTGTTTGGACTTGACAAGGTTTATGAAAATATTAACGAGGTCTTCGTTTGTTAAGATAAAGTTACTGAACAAAGCTTGATAGTTGACAAGAGTTAAGATATTCGAGATAGAGTGATTAAATTGAGCCAAAGCAATATCATTTCCAGTGTGAAAGAAAAACTCTCTGATATCTGAAGCCATTGTATGCCTCATAAATACTTGGTAGTCATTGAAGTCATTTGGCTCAATTCTATGAATATTCTTTACAGTTAAAGAATGAATCTTTGGCATTTGAAACTCCTTGACTTCTCTCATAAAGTTTCTTCAAGGCTTTTTGTTCCTCCTCAGATCTAATACCAGCTTGAACTTGGTATTCAATTCACAGTTCTTATCAATCTTCGTGCTCCTAATTATTTCAGTGACTTCCTTAATGTCAGGAACAACTCTATTGTTCTCATACTCCTGACTTGGTTTGAGGTCATTCTTTTCCATATAATTATCAATTTCTTCTCGAAGCTCTAGATTCGAATCTCTGATATCATGCATGAAATCAATGAGATCTTTATAGTTGACACTACAATTAGAGATGTCATCAAAAGTGGCAGCGAACACGGTTACAATTGAGTTGCTCATTTCTTTAGATTCTTCAGTGCGTGCTATATCTGTAAGCAATGTTTTCTCAGTAGGGTCTCTTAACTCCTTTTCTTCTTCAACATCTTTGAGATGGAAAGCAGTTCTTTCCTCTCTGACTTCTGACATTTCAGAATTGTCATAGCTGAATTTGCTTTCCAATTCAGAAACTCTTTTGGCTTCAAGAAGAAGAGGACCATTTGATTTTTGGAATATTTCTTGCTTGTTCTCTTCCAGATTAGCCATAGACCCTTCGAGATCATCTGTTTTATCACATTCAAAAGAGCTGATTTGCTTGAGAACAGACGTTGAATAAATCAGAGCTAACAATGGACCAACAATCTGATTTAATTTTGTTGTATCAGATTCTACACTTTTAGATTCCTTATGCATTTCAATAAACACATCAAAGTTAGAGTCATTCTTTAGCCCGTAAATTTTAATCGGGAACATCGAGACCCATCTATGGAGTCTCCTGGTGATAAGGTCTATTCCCTTCCTTTCTTTCTCCGAGAACTTGGTAACATAGTACTGATCACCCATTGCAGAGAGTAGGACCTGGGTTTGTCTAATCAAATGCTGCAAATTATCAACTTTCTCTTCAATTTCTGGCCAATAATCATCAAGGGGTTTATAATCCTTGGAACAATCTGCGAGTGCAAAATCTTCTCCACATCGTAAGTCTTTATCGTGCTCGGTATTTTTGTACATAAGTTTGGCAACTTCTTTACATCCTTCCTGGCTACACCTCATGTGTAATAGGAGTTCATGTAGGGCTTCCTTAAGGGCAACAGTCTCAAAGACCATGAGGTCTTCTTCATATGTCTCCATTTACTATTTTTCAATATACTATTATAAGTTTGGGGTTTTGGGGTTTTGGGGTTTTGGGG